CAACAGTGACCACAGACTGACCAGCATAGAGCCTACCTATAGCACGTAGACGTTCTACATTTGAAAGGCGCGGCATTTTCTAACAAAGATCAAAATAACAATTTTAATTTGTTTTTCCAGTTCAAGTTGACCTCACGAGTTTGTGTTTGCACGTGTTTTTAGGTTTTTCATCTTTATATGCTCAGAAGTCACGTGATCCACGTGACTACAATTTTATGAAATTAAAGGCTTCTTACTACTTACTATAGTTAGAAACACTTTAAAATTTATTTGACTTACCAGAATTTTTTTTTTGTTGAAATTCATCAGTGTCAAGTTTTTAATTTGGCTGAGTATATATATATATATATATATATATAGATAGCAATAAGTAGTGGTGGGTATAATACCCTAGAATCCCTAACGCTGCTTTCAAATAGCCAACGATGTTCGTTGTAGCTTTGTATTTAGCACTCTTTAAGTGAATGAGAGTATAATTTTCAGAACGGCAAATTCAACGCGTTTTCAAGGACTTATTAGCACGTTCAATTAACTGAATCACTATAGAATCAATAGGGATCAGATGGCGAGGTATCAGGCTTAGTTGTTAAATAACGTAGTTAACGATCACTTAACTGGAAAATCTTCATACTTGATAACACTTACAGAGTTCCAATATTCCAATATCTATATGGTTTGCCATCGATCTCATTAATGTTTGAAAAAGAAAAACAAATCTACCACCGGCTTATGTATTCGGAGATAAAGTGACCATATTGAATTGACATAATAATAAATAAAAGATGCTAATATTTGGGACCTAGAAATTGACACAAATGGATAGCAACGTATATAATTATGTAATAGTATTGTATATAAACTGATTTACATTAAATCGTTTCCGTTTCTACTCTAATTTCAAATCAGCTACGTTTGGCGAAATACGCCAGGCCCCGAGTTCACAAAGCATTCTCAGACTTAAGTTGAGAATTTGCTCAATCACGGTTTATGAGAAACATCTTTGATCCAGAAACACTAAACTTTGCAAATAGTTTCTTACTGATATATCTGATACAGTAAAACAACACAATTATTATAAAGTTCTATATTTTAGTTAACATAAGGCGAACAAGTTTGAGTAAAATCTCAACTTAAGTCTGAGAATGTTTTGTGAACACGGGGTCTGAAGTCTCAATCGAATAGCAATCTCTAGCGTCTGGTTATTCCAGTCTGCATCGAAAGATAAGAATATGATGTCACCGTTTGACATGACTTATGGAATATGTCTAGCCTCGTTCTTCGAGTTCCTTGTTATAAATGGCGCTGAAACGCATTATGGTACACGATTTGTGTATCAATGAATGTTTATTTTGTCTTAAATATTGGAGACCACAACATCAATGTTGATTTCAATTGACAAATAATTCGTGTTTCAATGTCGAAGACTTTGGATGATATTGAGTTAGGGACTTAGCTACTTTAACCAATTCACAAAATAGTAACTGGAACAATTATAAAACAGAGAAATCAAGTCTCGTTTAGCCGTGCATATAACATTTTTCGCGAAAGCAAATAATTCTAAACAATTCATTGTCAGTTGAATAATGATGGAATCGTTTTAATACATTAATATAAATGAAAATAATCTCAAAGACATAATACAATACCATCGATTTGTAACCTTTCTGCCACTAGACATCTTAAACTTCCTAAACCCCATAGGGGGTAAATGTTTCAGCGATTAGTTAGTCTGGGTATATCATTGCCAATATCTGTACAAATTCTAAAGGCAACCTTTTCTTTTGCAACGGAAACAATTGATATCTTTATCTTAAAGGACGGGTGTCATTTATGGAAATTATAAATATTAGGTACAAAATAAATAAACGCAGACATAAACAATATCTTAGAGTAAGTCAATCGATTGTCTACTAATAATTTATATATAGTCTATCACCGGTGGTGGTGCTACCTCGGTATCCCCAGTGGTATCCTCCACTAACCCCTGGATCCATTCGCGGAAGAGACTCGTAGGTCAAATTATCCGCCCTTGATAATTGTGCTATTTTTATCGACCAATCTAAAAATTCTATAAATAGGAAGGGAGTGGGCAAAGGGAAGTGGCCCCCATTTGTTATTTGTTTTGCAACTACGGTCGCCGAATGGTTGTTACACACTTTGTCAAAATATTTTAGGACATCGTTTTGTGAGCATGTCACTTCTTTGATATTAAATTTCTTGTAAACTCTCTATCATAATTGAGCGTACAGCTGCTGCATTTTGTGAAAGAAAACAATGACGTCAAGACTGGTATGTTAACTGTTTTTTTTATTTGGCTCGTAGAATAAACCTACGTGGCCAATGAAACCACCAAGGACAGATAATTTGAATTCGTGAATATCCTATGGATGGAAAAATGGTTTAGTGGCATATACGGAATGATTGCGCTGGGGATACCGAGGATGATAGTAATGTGGTTATGACCATTGCTAGTAGTCCATTCCCGATCCTTAATATTCTCGTGAGTTAGGGTTTCAAAATAACTTTGTAATTAGAAGAAAAGTAACGGGAATCTGATAATTTCATAGAAAGCGTTTAGAAATGTCATGTTTGTTGCAAGGGGTACTACGTTAAGGCTTGACGAGACGATGAACTCTATCCCCTTGGAACCACAAAGTATATGTTCAGTAGAATCTAATGTGAGGATGTGGATAATGGATAAATAGCGTGTGAATAATAATTGCATAATTAAGAAACAATCTTGTTGAACTGTCGATGTTGTTCAAAAATAAACCAGTCCGTATATATGGTCCACAAACATTCTTAAAACCTGGTGTGTGCCTTTTAAAAAAAAAAAAATCCTATTATAACATACTACCAGAATTTAAAACCCAGTCGGCCAGTCCAGTACAGTCTTCCGGTATGAAATTGTTGAATTACATGGGTTATTAGATTATATATTAGAAGGACTTATTACGTATGATACATCGTCTTTCACAATCACCGTCGCATCCGATTTGTTCAGCTGTCACATTTTATGTTATTTTTTGTATAATTAAGCCATAGTGCAAAGATTGAAGATGAGTTTTAGAATTTTGCAATCATTAGGTTCTAAAGGCAGGGGCCAGATCATGACATTAATGAGGACGCCACATGACATTAATAAGAGAGAGAGAGAGAGGGGGGGGGGTCCAGGAGGTAGGACTGACGATCCTACTCCTTGAACCCATCCATAGATACGAATTACGCGTAGAAATGGAAAGTTGACAATCGAAAAGTCAAAGTCATCACGTTTATCGTACATCTTAACACTCAGTTTATGGCAATTGTCAAAATCGAGACGTAGATCCAAGTAGGAAGCGTAATTGTTACTGTCAGTAGTATAATTTCGAGTTCATCAGGACATATGAATTCTACATAATCACTAAATTTAGGATTATTCAGAGATGGAACATCATCGATATTTTGATAAGTGAAATTAAAGCGTCTGACTAATCGCTTATTTGGTTTTGCGAGTGCCTGTATATAATCGGCTTCGTAAGAATACAGAAACAAATCAGCCAGTAAAGGTGCACAGTTGGTGCCCATGGAGATACCTACCACTTGCTGATATATTTCCCCTCCAAATTCAACAAAGATATTATCAATTATTATCTTGTTGGCGGTGTACTTATTTATGGAATTACTATGGTCCTTAACAAAATAATATGGGAATTGTAATTAATAACTAGATATTCATATCTAACAGTTCCCGATTTAGATGAAAAGACGTTGTGAATAATGTCTTTTAGCCGAGCTTTTAATTTACTATGGGGAATTTTAGTGTACAAGGTAGATAAGTCAAACGTTTGTATAGACTGAAGCAGGACATACAATCCTAATTTCAATATCATTAATAGCACGCTTATTGTTTCTATGTAATCAGACTACCGAATTTGCAAAATACCCCGTCCCCATTAGCTTGGTGCAGAAAGGTAGGGCGCTACTGAAGTAAGAACTAATAGCGCGGCCGTCCGAGCAAAATTTCCATCGTAGCAAACTGTATGACGTACCCCAGCATGCATTAGCCCCGTCGGTGCAGAACGCCAATAGCCGGAAGTTAATCTTGGCTATAATTCTGTTTCATATTTATCCTGTAGGCTTCTGTCAAAAGCCTACTTTGACAATTGGAATCAATAAAAAAAAAATGTGAAATAATCGCTTTCTGTTCGACGACTAACCTCTCAAAAGATTTCAGAAGTGAAACTTAAATATGGATCTTATCAATTAGTACTAATTAATTAGAAGTTGTCTTCATTATTTTAAGAAGGAATAAACAAACTGCTTTCAACTTTGAGTTTCTGTCTATGAATACCCAGCATGAGGAGTCGGTGATGAGAAAATTCCGATATGTATAGTACTCACTAGCCCTTGGGCCCAACCGATAAAATGTCCAATATGTCGCTAGAAATAATTATTCTCTTTTTTGTATTAACGATGCATGATGTAAAATTTAGATAGAGAACTGATAGTTCTCGCTATAGATGGTGTAAATAGATTATGAAAAACAAAACAGAATTTATTGAAAATTTTATTCAAATTAATTTATTCTGAGCAAAGTTATCAGTGTTTGAAGTTTTGATAAGAATAGTGTAGTCTATTTTCATTGCCATAACTGTTAGATAAAAAAAATGGAGATCGTCTTTCAATTCATTAAAAATTGCGACCCGCCGGTGGTCTAGCTACAGAGTTGGTTATAGACTTATCATCCGAACATGTGAATAAATGTCTAATTACTAATTTATATAACATTTGAGTCCAAAAGAAAGACCTACAATAGGCAGATTTGGCTCTTGCATAATGCTTCATCAAGCGGAGTTATTTCTATCAATTATAGTTGAACGGTAGAAATCACCTAATGGGTGACGCTCTTACCTAATGGGTTGGGTTGTATGACGCTCTTCTCAATTCCGGGCCCACATGTGACGATTGAACAGTTTCAGAATGGGGCAATATTTTATATCAAAAATGTATTTACTTACTATTTTCAACCAACCACTTGCAGTCAAAACTTGATTCTTCATATCCTATACGAAACGAGAAAGGTATATATCTATTGCCTGCGTTCCACTTTTGTTTATAGGGACATTCCAAGATAATGTGAAAATAATCATTTTGGGAGATTCGAGTTTTCTATTTACGATTTTAGCCATCCCCCTACTACCTACAATAATTCCGAGTTAAGTTCAGATATCAACTAAATGGTGTTGTACGTTGACTACATTTTTCACAAAATCTGACTAACAGTTATGTTAGTGTACCAAGAATTTAATACAATGTACATCTACCACAGAGTAGAGACTTAATTTTTCCAAAACTTGATAAACACCATATTAATATTAAATAAAATTTCAATCACACTTCAGCAATTTAATACTAAATCGAAGTGGACGGGTATGGGTGAACCCAAGACCCATTCATTTAATCTGTTGTTGATTATTCACAGTGAATGTGTGTATTGTAGGTTTTTTCCGCCTTTTATTCTTGTGGGGTCTGTTTATGTGTATTGCTGTCCGCCTGCACTTACTAATACATTTAATTTACTAGCGAGAAATGTAAGGAGGAGGAATGTTCTGGAAAATTGCAAATTTGGGATGCTGTTTGTTGTGTTCTAAAAGTAAGACTCTTCCTTACTTTTCAATATATATATAATAAATATGAAGCGATAGATCTTACCAGATCATGTATCATAATAAGAAAGAAAGACATCTGTACTTGAAGTGGAACGCTCTGATTATATAACGGTACAATCTCCTTACTGTAATTCCCAAATAAAGACTTTCTTAAGCGGATCATGTCACTTGCTGTCGCCGACCAACCTGAAAAAATCAATTCAAATGGAATCAATGGCGAAAATGGTGTAAATATATAGTCGAAAGATAATGCCTGAAAATAAAATTGAAATCTTCTCCCGGGTCGTAAATATTGGTATTCTCGTATTTACTATAAATGGCTTGTCATAAAGTCCATGCCTGTCTCAGAAAGTCAACAATGACGTCATGGGGTGTCTACCTTATGTACTTTTCACACGCCCACATTAGTTTCAGCCCAAATCATTAGGAACGGGAAGAGACAATTCCATGGTATTCGCAGGTATTTTACATGATTAAGGTGGGTGTTCTATATCATTAACGAATTCGGTGAATGCTGGCAACGTCGTCGCCATATAGTTTCGCTCAGCAGAGCAGGTGTTTAAACACAACTTGCTGACATTCGCAGAGGAAATGAAATGAAATGGAGTTTAACGTCCTGCTGTTCTGCTCCGAACTGGGCTAATGAAGACGGCATTCGCAAAGGAGTTGACCCACTGGAACTGAATATTGGTAGTTATGGGCATTGCGTGAATAACGCTGTGGACAAGATGGAGAGTAACTTTGGTTAAACTTGGCTGTGATCTTCTACCTTATAACATCTTTTATTTTGCGTGAAAGCTTGGACCCAATTAGTAAAAATCCTTTCAGAAATAAAATATTACAGCAAATGAGTGTGTGTCCTGTTATTTACTGAATCTTAAAGATGCTACTGGTCAGGATTGTGGTTTTGAAGCTCTGTATCAATTTCTTCGAACATGAGTTTATGAGTCATTCGAAGACTTAGAAAATATATCGCCAACAACGAAATATTTTTAAGTAGTTTATCCTCCACTCAAAAACTTCAAATTATACTTTTATAATCATTCTAAATTTAATCACCTATGAAAACAAATACAATATTTGCAAATACTTCTTTGTGGTTAAATTCATATTATGATCAACTTTCATTACATTTATATGAAATAAGAAATGTATATGAGCCTGAATGTGGATTCGTTTCATAACCCGCCATTGTAAATCTATTTTTTTTTAAAATAAATTTTAGTTAAGTTCAGTTGAAAGAATGTTATTAGTTGACAAATTTTGATAATGATGAACTTAATTATTTGAAAAGTGCTGATGTAGGCTTCTAGCCATACTCGTTTATGAATAAAATACTGTTTACATAAGTATTTAACCTTTGCCTGAAAGAATACAGTTTTACTATCATTATTTGATATTAATTATGACAGTGTAACAAACATACGCGCTCAAAAGGCAGACCCGCGTCTTTTATTTAAACCAAGTTATTTCAATATTAATTAAAATGGAAACTCTATTTCAAATGAGGATGGAAAAAACGATTTTTACTGATGAGTATATGATTAGAATGCAGTTAACTCAGTTTTATATATAAATGAATTAAAATAATATTTTGATAACAAATAACATTAATAATACACTGATACCTGTAGTAGCTGTTGGTGGCTGAAACTGTGATCCCGTTACAGGTTCCATCTTGGAACCATTAACTAACTATTAAATACGAAAATTAGAAAATTCACAGATTTAAACCATTTTCTTGTAAGCGGAAAGTACCTTCCTAGGTACTTCAAAAGGCAATATAATGAGAGACTCCACGTCACTGGATACATCAACAAGTCTTCATATAGCACTAATTATTATACATACTAAATCCTTATATATCGTAAAAAAGGAAACCACAAAAAACCAGAAAGACAACAATTAAGTTTTATATGTCTATGGTGTGATTTGTCTGTGTATTATTCCTTTCAGTGATGATTAAACACCTGGAGGCTTGGATCGATTTTTTCTTTATAAGATAATTAGAATACATATAAAGCGTCCTTCGAAAGATAAAATTAGATTAAAATTTCTAACGGAAACATTGTATATCTATGACAATTTAAGAACTTTTGTTCCGATAAATTAATGGATAAACTGAATCACTAAATTCCTTCAGTCAGTACATAATAATGTGTCGAAACATACATTTAAAGTGAGTTGATCCAGAGAAAAAGATGTGCTGGAGCTGTTTATCTTGTGGCTCTAAACTGAAGATGCATATACCCCGAAACATCATTTCATATTCAATGCTTTGTTTGCAATCCTCCAATCCGCATAAAGGTTATTAAATATAAGATGTGTGTATTGATGTGGTAAACGCTTTCATCCAACCCTGACCATTGTTCATTTGAGGAATGAGACGGATTTAAAGTTGAGTGAGCTGTAAAGAAGGGTAGTTTGTATGATAATTCTTCCTATAAATTCTTCCACACAATTCTCTCCTTCAAGGCAACAACTCGTAAAACTAAAGTAATTACATCCAAATCTATCCTAAGCCGAATAAATGACGAATATTATCGTAGCACTAGACCATAATAATTAGATATTTAGTCAATGGTCATATCTTCAATATTCCATACTAAAACTGCTCTAAAAGGCCTTATGGCGATAGGTGTGACCCCTCTGATCTATATCTAACCAAAGTTTCTGTTGACGATAAAACTTTAAATTTAATTTAGATAAACATCGACTATCATTAAAGAACTTATATCAGTTCAAATTTATTTCCTTGGTAAAGTTAACAAACCTTTGAAATCGGACGAATTCACTACAGATATTCCGGATTCATCTTGCAACACAAACCTTACATAGCAAGTGGTTCCTATCAGTGCAATCTAAATCTGATGGATTTTTGCAATTCGACCTTTGTGTATCTAAAACCCATTAAACTCGCACAAAGTATAATTTGTTATCTAATCGCTGTTTACAAACCATTTGGCAATGTTTCTGTATTTATTAAAGTCGGAAAGGTTATAAAGTCAGTCAAAGAGTTAAATAAATAGCCAGGATCATTAAAACCACATCATATCCAACAAACAATTATAAGATTACAACAGGCATTATAATGATAATACTGCTTAGCTCGAAGCTGACTGATTCGCATAACATAGGAATGAATATTTCAAATAATGATGCTCTACAATCTTGGAATGTACACGGTGCCAACGTGAATTTAATTTAACAAACAAATGATTCATGCTCTTGTTATTTTGCTTCCTGGTGTCCATAAACTGTTCACCTGGTACAGAAATCACAATTATCGAGACTGTTTTCATGGGTGTCAACTCCTTTTAACCAAGATCATGATCTTCATCAACTATGTATGACAACCATTGGTGCCTTCAATAATACTTTATCTACTTGTTGCAAAACTGAGAAAAGGATGTGGCACTAACATAACTTCCAAACATGAGCACAAATCAATGACTTTTTCCAGTCAAATGAACATATCAAATCTAATGGTTGATTTTGATGCCTGGTCCATCAGTCTTGATGAGTGAGAATAAATGTTCTGATTTACTGAATTGGACAACCACTGGAAACCAATTAGTCAACGTTGATCAGTTATTGTCTAGAACCCGTCATCCAGTCACTCATATCAACCCTCTTGCAGATTGGACACCGACCCACGTAGTCGAGATCATAATGACAGATTTCATTAACCCTCGTACACGAATAAAGAAAAGAAATCTAAACCTATTCGTGTTGTTACTTTTAGATTTTAATAACCAGGACGTTTAGAGATTGCATACGTCATTCAGATGCCGGATAAAGGTGAAATTAAAGAATTTTATAATTAGTATCGGAGACGAATGCTATAATTAGTATCGGGGACGCAGATTAAAAGTCCTAAGGACCTTTTATTGAGACATGGCTGCAGGAAATCTCTAATGGAACTGATGTTAATAAATTTCTAAACATATACCTGTTTACTACCCTGGGCGTAGACAACGAGCCTACGTCTTAACTGTTTCACTCCAACTACATGTATAGGGCATGTATGACCTATGGTAAGTTTTTTCCCAATCTAGACATAGCTTTGTGTCGGTCTGAATGCAGTGCACAATCCCAGGGGAAACGAATCAAATTAAAACCGAGAGTAGATTCCTCTTGTTTGGATTTCTCTTGAATAGGTTGACGGTCTACACGATGGCAGGCCCAGATTAAAAATCGACCAACGATGACCAAGTCGATATGATTGTGGTCAGGAAAAGATAATAGGGGTAAATTAGAGGTAAACACCACCAAAATTTGATAATTTATAAGTAAAATTGAATGTTTTTCCTTGGCTACTGGGCAGGAGTCAAACTTGTTAGCTTCGATAAATAAGTCATATGAGTTCTATATGTTACATTTCCCATTTTGGTAAACATATCTTTGACAACATTAATGTATTTTAAATCTATTTTATTTACCTAATTATTTCTCATGTAAGATACGAGTTGAATTAAACAGATACTGACATGAGTGATATATTGTCCTTATAAACACTGGCATGAGTGATATATTGTCCTTATAAAACACATAGAGTAAAACTCTTTACAATCAAATATCAACTGCCCCTGGGCTATAAAACCATATTAATCGAGCCAATGGCTATTACGTCAGATATAATTTAGACTAAGCATTGAAGTCTAACAATGGAGGGATTAAGAATTGGTCATTGACCAAACTCTCTACAAAACAAACTATTTTTTTAGATTTCAACTGAGAAGCAATATTTTATAGTTTAATTGTTAATGTGTCACAATTGTTCATTATATATTTTGTAGAACTATATTTGAAATACAGAGTGAGCTATGGTTTATAACGGATCGGATCTCTCTCTTTCCTGTAAATATTTGCTGAATTATCTATGTTTAATAAATCACATAGAAGTTACATGGACTCGGTCTTAATTTCATAAGACCAGACATACGTGGTCACACATTTTTACGTATCACGCCGTTTCAAGTTGTATCAAATATCGTGGGTACATATACTAAACCACGAAAAAAAAACCGTCAGTACGATTTCAAAATTAGAGAGGCACTTCAATCAAATCAGTCTTGAAAACGACTTACTGAATGGATCAAAGCAATTTTTTGTGAACAGTATGTTGACACATTAGTGATTAATTCATCACAATTCCAAAACATTACGAGAAGGTTTAGAATCTG